TTTGGCATATGGGTATAACGGGGTTTTGGGGATATGGGTTTCGGGATTTTTTGGGCTAAGATTTGGGCGCCGAGTTGGCGAAATGGTTCCATAGGTTAATGGGGCAAGGTGTCCCGTAAGTAGCTGGGCTCTCAGACCGCCCCTTCCCACCATGTCCAAGTCCAAGCGGCCGTCGGCTAAGATCGACAAAGGTAGTGGCCAGCCATCTGCGGGTCCCGTGGTGGCCTTGTCATCTCCTGTTCCGCAATGCTCTGCGCTACATTGACATGCAAGATCATGTCTGCTTCTTCTGCCCATCTGCAAAACGGCCCTCAGACGACATCCTGGCCAGCGCCACTGCAAGGCAACACGGCTGGCTGAAAGGAAGAGGCGATGAAGATTCAAAGCTCCCTCGTCCGGCTCCTGGTGCCAGGGAGGGGTTTGAGGACAACCAAAAAAGGCAATATCGATACCCTTTTGGGTGGTTGTCAAAATTATGGTCCCCTTTTGGGTCCTTATTATAATACGGCACCTATTATTTAGGGTACCCCAAAAGGGACCCTAATTTTGACAACCACCCTTTTGGGGCTGAGCAGTGGGATCGGCCTCGGGACTGGGACCGTCGCCCACACGAAGCGGAAGCCAGAGGGCCTGCTCGCGGCTGGGGGCTTTGAAGCTCTGCGACTTGCCTAGGCACTGCAGTTGATGGCCTTGATGGCTGGCGTCCACCAGAGGGGCAGCCGCCCCTCCAGGCTCAGGGTGACCCCGGGCCTGCTGGCAAGATCAGGAAACCGTAGCAAACCCATGGTCGGTTCTGCTTTCCAGGGGCCCTTCGGCACCATCGCACAGACGGAGAGCCTAGGGCCAGGGCCGCTCTGAAAAGATTCAGCTGCACGGCGTTTCCCGTGCCTCCCAACCGAGCACGCGCACCACGTCGCCGTCTGAGACGCTGCAGCGCAGAGCTTCCCCACCTGGGCATCTCTGGGGGTCGGAAACAACTCCCCTTTCTATACAAAACCTTTGCCTTCAAAATCCTCAAAGTAGATTGTCCGCTCCTCTGCTGGGACTTGCCAGACCTGCTGGCACAGCACCTCAGCCTGACAGCAAGGCTGAGCCCATGTCCTGTGCCAAAGTCTTGCAGTCGCCTCTTTGGAGGAGACGCAGAGCCTGGAGCCCCACCTTGGAAGCTGCATAAAGCATTGCAATGCATTGCACAGCTCTTCACTACTTCATTCCACCGTGGTCTCGTTACACCTTTGTGACAGCAGGAGCAGGGCAACCGCGTCTGTATGCGTCTCAGCACTTTGGAGACGTTGCGTTTCAGATATGTACAGGGGCAGCCACGCCACAGCTCGGTTTCAAGCCGTGCCAGCCGTGCTCTGGGTGCCGCTCTAGGCTGCCAGAAGCTTGGTTTTTTCAGCGTGGAACTCAACGTCGCTGAGGAGGCCGGAGGCCCGCATCTCACCCAAACGACGAAGCTCTCCCTCGAGCAGATGGGGAAGCCATTGGGCCATGCGATGCTGCTACACGCTATGTTGCAGCTGAAGTCTAGAGGTGTTCGCAGTGCCGCCGGGATGCTGCCAGGAATGCCCCATCCTGCAGAGCTTTGCGGCTTCATGCCAGAGCACAAAACCATCCCCGACTTGGGCGGCCACCTTTCGAGGAGCCAGGCGTTGGGGCGGTGCGGCGCGAACCTCCCGGAATGCTCCGATGCAACCCAAACCACAGCCCAGTCCAAACCGAAGGCCCAAGCCACGGAGCCACGGCGCAACTCAAACTCGGGCTTCCACGGCTTACAGTATTGGAGTTGTCGGATTGTCAATTGCTCAATGGGCAAAAGCAGCGAGGAGTGGAGAACTGGGCCTGGCGAACTACGTTCTGGTGGCTCTCCGAGCCGTGGGCTCACCAGCCGTGGGTTCGTTCCGGAGGGCCCGGCCGGATCGTGCGTGGTTCAGTGGCACTCAGAGGCATTGCTTGTCCGCCCTTCCCTTATGCCTGTACTGCGGCATTCGAGAAATGACCCAGCACACCATGACCCCTGCTTTCTCGATCTTCCTCATAATATAGCTATAGAGAAAACTAGTGTGCTCCGAAGTCCAGAGATCCACGGCCTCATCACAGCAACGAAGACCCAGCCAGGCACAGAGACCTGGACATGGCTCGGACGATATCATCCTGTGAATGGAACTCACCGACACATCACACCCAATGAGAAGATCTGAACCGTCAAAAACTGCCGCCACTGCTCGTAAGCACGAGTAAAAATGTGTAGAAGTCTCACTGGCATGTTCGTGCGGCGGCCTCTGCTGCTTGCCTTCTCGACTTGAGACGGGGGACCGCCCAACGCAAGGAGGCGAAGGTTTTTCCGGTGAATCCTTGCAGATCTTGCAAGGCGCTTCGGAGCACTTTGTCCGCACAAGCGATACTCCGGTCGCAATTTAAGGCAGCCAAGCGTCAACACCTCTCCCTCTCCTGCCGAGAGGTACATACGACATGCATGCCTCACTGCACCAGCAGTCGCCAGCATGTGTCTGAGGCGATTTCTGCTACACAGCAGCTCCCGGTAGGAGCAGCTTTGCATGTGTCGAATACGATGGGCAGGATTCGATCAGCCGTCCTCACCGCCAAAGCAACGAAGGCTGAGCCTTGCTTCGCTGTCCGCTCGTGCCTTCCAGGCCGTTGAGCCGGGCGTTGGACGTGGAGCCTTCGACTCGGCAGCAGGCCCCCTGCGGAGCGAAGGACAGGTCCTGAGGGACTGCTCACTTCCCTCGGTTCCCTCAAGCCCTTCGACTGGAGAACCCGTTCAGCACCTGCAGGAACTTGCCCAGGTTCTCAGCGCCCAGAGAAGGCAATGCAGATCCCAACTTTTCCGTTGGCAGAGACAGGAGGAAGGCGATCTCCTGGCGTCGTTGTCGTGCGTACAACGTGGCTGTCCCTCGCCCTCGCTACTTGAAAGGCCCGTGACTCGAGCAGCGCCTCTCGAACGCACGCTTTGGCAGCCCAGAGTCTTGCCACGCAGGGAAGGAGCCACTGAAGGGCCTGGCACAGGACCCGCAAGGCCTTTGATGACAGGAGCCGCCCGTCGCCTATGCCACGCCTCTGCGGTGCAAAGGCATGCCGGACTTGGGGTGGCCTCTCCCAGGAGCGCAGAATGCTCCTGCACCTGAACATCAAGGCTTCGGCAGGCCTTGAGCCTCTCCGTATCCTACTGCAAAGTGCAAGAACGTGCAAGAGCTCAACATATCTCGACATGCAGAAGGTCGTGGTGTGGTGTTGGTGCCAAAGTTGCGTCCGCTCAAAGATTTCAAGGACTTTATCGGTGCTGCAGCTTCGGATTCGAGACCAACTGTCCCTCTCCGCCGCAACGCATGCGATGCCCTCTGGTCTCTGTCGAGAGGTCTGGGTTGTGCTAACTGCATCAAAGCGCCGAGCCTCCTCCTGGGCCGGAATCGGCATGTTGGCAACGTTGGGCCACTGGGAGGCCTGTCGGATCAGAGCATCGTCAGGATCTGGCTGCAAACAGTCTGCGTCCTAGACTCCTGGGTTCCTAGATGCCGCAACGGGAAGAAGGTTCCTACAACCCCTGAACCCCTAACCCTGATTTTAGTACCCTTCTTACAATAGTTCATTTTATAGTACCCTTCTTATAATAGTTCATTTTATAGTACCCTTCTTATAATAGAACAATTTTAAAGAACCCTCTTAACCCTTGGAGTCTGCAAGAAGGCCTCTGTGAGTTGACGCGAGGGGATGGAGTCGAAACGCAAGTTCTTCCGGGCGATGAGCATGGCATCTGCACAAGACGAGAGAGACTGATTTTTGTTCAACCACTTTTTTAAGGTTTGCGGTACCACTTCTAGGGTTCATATGGGTTCATGGTACCAGAAGAATGTCATGAGGTACTACATGGGCTAAGGGTTTAGTTACTCCTTCAGGAGACTGAAAGGTTAGCCGCTTGCACGCCTTGGTACTCCCCCTGTGGATCACCATCTCGAGCCTGGCACGCAGGTATACACGGCGAGCCACACAAGCGCGATGAAGCACAGAACCGTGCTGCTTGTGTGTCACAACCCCTGATCCGGCATCATCGATACATCTGAAAATTCATGCATGCATGCATGTGTTGGCAATGCAGTCAGTCCGTTGACAGAGGACGTGGAACTCAAGCATCGACGGACTACCGGATTTGCCCCTCGCTAGGTGTTCACCCCACGCCCGCTCCAACCAAGCGTGAGAGTACTCAAGAAGGCTTTCAGCTTGGACTGTCGTCTCTGACCACCATGCGCATGTCGTGAATGCCCGCAGTTCTGTAACGCCTCCACGAGGACCAGGGCATGCGTCTCGACGCCGGAGAGATCTCGGCACAACGTGCAGCGCCTCGGATCGGCCCCAAACCTACCGGGCTAACCCCGGTCAGCATCTCCCCGGCGCCTCTCATTCAGCTGCGGAGAGGAGTTCGAGCCGAAGATGCTGCAGCCGGCGCCTAGCAAGGCTTGCAGCTTGCAAAGCACAAGAGAAAAGGCGGGAGAGACCGACCCTAAATCCTAAACCCTAAACCCCAAAGCCCTAAACCCCCAAAGACCCAAGGCCTAAACCCTAAACCCTAAACCCTAAACCCTAAACCCCAAAGCCCTAAACCCCCCTAAACGAGACGGACCGAGGCACCTCTTGGCACGAAAGCCAAGTCCAGCAGGCAACTGCCCAACTGCTCCTCTCCCGCCGAGGCCGGGAGTTCCTGAAAGGGAGGGAGAGGATCCGCTTATAGTATATTATAGTGTATTATAGTAGATTATAGTATATCATAGTATATTATAGCATATTATAGTAGATTATAGTATGGTATAGTATATTATAGTATATTATAGTATGTTATGTACAAGTGTTATTCTTTATTAGTGTATTATAGTGTATTTTAGTATATTATAGTATGTTATAGTATATTGTTTTCGAAGAGCCGCGAGGCTCGGAGCCTCGTTGATGGTGTCCACAGGCAAGGAGAGCAACCAGGCGACTTCCTGGAACCGTTCTTAGGGTTTAGGGTTTAGGGTTCAGGGTTTAGGGTCTCTTCTCCGAAGACTGACAGCTTAGCGGTTTGGTGGCTCGCACCTCCCGGCCACAGCCTCTGAGGGCGAGCTTGGCAACTACCTGCCAGATGTCAACTTCTTGCGAGTGCCAAGATTCGCCTCGCCTCACCTCCGACAGCCATCTCTCAGCAGGCTTGTCCTCCGACACAGAACGAGCTCCAGCCCATCTCCGAATGAATCATCCGAATCATGACGGCGGCCGGACAGCTCAGGTCCTGAAGAAAGGATGGCAAGGTGGCGATCTCTGCAATGACATCCTCGAATAGTCGAGACATGGATTTCGATAAACTGCTTGGTTACCATGGAATTCCGTCTGAACCATAACTCGCTGGTGCACTTCCGACAGAACCCCGTGTGCATCCCACACAATGGTGACCTGTCGCTGAGCGGCGTTGGTGTAGAAGCGATCTTCCTTGAGTGCACTTGCCTCTGGAGCATCAGCAGCCTCGCCAAGAGCGAAAGAAAGAGCACAGCTTCACCAAGGCACAGAGCAGATGCATCCTTTCGTTTTCCATGCCAACCTTCTTGCCATGATGCACTAACCTAAACCCGAATCAAACCCTAAACCCTAAACCCTAATTAAACCCTGAACCCTAAACCCTAATTAAACCCTAAACCCTAAACCCTAACACCCTAAACCCCAAACCCTACTATGCAACGAGATGCAGGATCTTATCAGAACCGCAGGATGCAGGCCTTCATGTGCACGGCCCCTGCACTTCGCCATGGCACGAGCGGCTTCACGAAAGCTACGCAGCCCTGCGTGTCTGTAGTTTAGGGTTTAGGGTTTAGGGTTTAGGGTTGAGGGTTGAGGATTTAGGGTTTAGAAGCGCCTGGGCCTGGGGGCCCCAACTTACTGGCAGAGTTCGACTGCTGGATTTAGTCACTGGATCCGACCGGTCTTGCGGGCACCAAGGCAATCTGCAAAGACACCTCCAGTACTTGGAGGTTCATGGGTAGTTATAAGTATGGTTATAAGTCCCCTAATATGGGTTATAATTACAGTTACCCTACTTATAATCCCATTTATAACTACCCATGAACCTCCAAGTAAGGCAGGCTCTCCGAACCATTACCATGGTTAGCACCATTACTAACGAGTTCTGTTATCATTGTTATTAATAATTAGTCTTATTGTTGTTATTATTATCACCATTACTATGATTATGCTTTAACTTACTACCATTATTACTATTATTACTATTCTTCTTGATATTAGATGATTATTTTATTTTTATTGCTACTACTCTTACTATGTCTAGCCTGGGTGAGGCCGAGAGTCGGACTGGCCAAGGGCGCCGCCACGTCCCAGCACTAGGGAACCCATATCCACCACCTGGAGCAGACGTAGTAATTTCAATAACAACGATAACAAGAATAATGATAATAAGTAATTGTGAGTAATAACAATGATACGCATAATCATCATCATAATCTTAACAAGCATAATCACAATAGAAATAGTTAGCAATGTAGGAAGTAGGGGCTCGAAAACCTCATCAGCGAGGATAGGAAGCCCCCAGAACCGCAGCCATGCGGTTCGTCCAACAACATGAGGAAGTATGCGCTTCACATGGTGCTATGTTTGCGGATGGTCAGGTGTCCAGAGCCATTTCCTTGACACAGGCACGCGTGGACAATGTCGTGGCCAGCCATCTACGCGCGTCTGACGTTGTGTCGCTTAAGGGCCTGCGCTTGACCTTAGAGAGGCAAGTTGGAGTTTGTCCAGAGACTCGGAAAGCAGAAATCAAATGCATGGCGGTGCAGGCTGTTGAAAATTTTGCCGATGGTTTCGGTATCATGAAGCTGCCCTGCGCTTTTGTGGCGAGTCTTCGTGATCCATATCGCGGTGTGTGGGAGCCATGCTGTCGTGCAGCTGTGGTTGGGACTGCGGCGGCCAGGCTAGCTACACGTGGCAGAATGCTTTTTACGGAGCTATGCGACAACTTGGACAGCCACTTTGACAAGGAGAACAACCACAGTGCGAGCCAGCAGGATGGCCCAGCCGGGAAGACCTGTTGCAGCTCCAGAATCGTGATGCGTGTCAGGGCATGTGGGAGCCCGTGTTACCCGTGGCAGGCTGCCCTTTACCGAGCTGTCTTTGGACGGCAATGAGAACAACTACACTGGTGGACAGCAGGATGGCCCAATTGGGAAGACCTGCTGTTGCAATATCCAGAGAAACAGCAAGAAGGTGAGGAGCGCGAAGTCTTTCACAAAGTCTGATTCTTGCGACATCAGATTACGCAGGTCAGCTGTGATGGCTTCCAACGGTGTGGCTTTCCAACATCTGCCCTCCTCGCAAAGTTTCTTGCAGGTTTCCGCGTCATCGACACCACTTTGCCGACTCCGCGTTCTACACTCGACAACAACCCTCACTTTTGTGGGCTGAGTGATCGTGCCGCATTCGTGGTGATTCACGGTGCTGCATGGGCTGGTCTCTTTAGTTGCTGTTTCTGGTTTCAAGTGTAACTTGCATCCAGTCTACTAGATTTGTGTCAATTCGGGAGAAGGCACAATGTACAGGTGCCCTCTCGGTTTAAGGTTGGAGGGTGTAGAGGTAGACGGTTTTTTCAAGCCACGTGCTTGGCCGGCTTCATCTCCTCCACCCAATCCTCCCTCACGGCCGGGTGTTTGGCAGTTTGCGCATGCTGCCAGCTCGAACGGCCCGAAGCTTAATTAAGTGCACTGCCAGTTGCAAATTTTGGGACGCGTCTTGTATAGACTCTACTGTCCACACAGGAACAGGAACAAGGAATATAGGAAGTCTGCCAAGGCTTTTCATTGCACCATCCGGGTTGCTATGCGTTCTGTTTACCGGCTGTTGAACCTAGCTTTCATGCGGGCAATCAGCTGCGACAACAGTTTAGGGTTTAAGATGCGGAAAGTTGTCGTGCGGATCCCTGGAGAGTCATGCTCCGGAGCAGCGAGCAAGACCCCTCCTCTGAAGCCCTGCCGTGCAGAGCCTCGCGGTAGGCACCACAGGGCGAGACATCATACCTCTGCCAACGCACTTGATAATCGGCTGACCACAGCACCAGTTCTCAGTCACATGCTAATATAGCTATTCAACCCGAGTTGCTCGAGGCAAACAGTTCCTCCCAAAGTCCAGCCGAAGAGCGACAAGAAGCTCACCTGGAGGCCACTGGAGGCGCACACAATTGGGTTGCGCTCTCAATCTGCGTCACTGCCGCTCTACACTGTGCAATAGGGACCTGAGCAGCTGGTGGTGCTGGCGGGCATTGGACAATCGCCGGGCGAAACCAGACCTCCGCAAGCAGACTTGTGCCACGAGGTGATTGCCAGATTCTTCCAAAAAGGCAGCCCCCTGAAATTCTAAATCCTACACCGGAACCCTAAGCCCTAAACCATCCCTTCCCTTGCTGCAAAGGAGCTCGCCCCTCGAAAGTCCACTGTGGCACATCCGCGTTTGCGGCGGCGCGGCGGCGGGCGAGCCGTCCTGGTCAAAAATCGGGGAGAGCAAGGTAATGACAGCAACAATTGCAGCAGCAGTAGCAGCAGCAGCAGCAGCCGGAGGAGGAGGAGTAGTAGCAGTAGCAGTAGCAGTAGCAGTAGTAAAGGAAGTTAGATGATACGTTGCCCAGTTTGGGTATATGGCACCACCCACCCCACCAACCTAATTAACTATCTTAAGAAAATGCTTTATTCCCAATACCCGTATCCACCTAGGTGCCAGAGCCCAAAAAGCGCAAAGGCTTGATTCATTTTGTATTCATCAATATTGGCTTCTTCCGACAGCTTACTCCACATATTTGTCCATTGTTTTGTTGCGTTTTTGGTGCTTTGTTGCTTTGAGGCCTTTGTGTTTGAAAGTTTGAAGTTTTTTTGGTGTGTGTTTGGTTGTGGTGGTTTTACATTAATTATCCCAAGCACATCACACTGCCAAGGCAGAGCTGCAACCGCCTGAACTGGTCCCATCTTTGCTGGCACATCACACTGCCCGCTCCCCCTCCATCCAAAAGCAGACTACCGTCCGCATTGCACATGTATGAGTCTAGCCTGCGGAGGCTGTCAATAGTGGCTCCATTTCTGCTGGCACATCACATGCCCGTGGAGTGCAAAGCAAATTAGCTGACCAACTGCACAGGTATGACGATGGCGGACTGAAACCGAGAAGACTGGCTCAAACAGACAAGCAATAATGGTGGCAAGTTAAATCACATGGCCCATGTCCATCGAAAGAAAATCGCAAGGCTGTACATGCACAGTATACATTACGGTTTTTGTTCGTTTTCGACTTGCTGGAGATTCGTGAGAATGCACAAGTCTTAACTCGTCTGTTCCCGTTGCTGCACCACCACGCAACACGATGAAGTGGTGTCAATGCAAGCCCGTAATAACCCAGTGTGGAACGAGGCCGAGGAAACGACAAGTCGCGAAATTACATGTTCAGGAAGCGATAGCAAAAACCACGTCAGGTTTCGCGAGTATTGAGAAAACACAGGCCAAGGACTGAGAATTGTCTCTTTCTGTATGGGTGGTCATGTGATCTGTGACATTCACCACATCTGCATTGAGCTCGACCTTGTGGGCTTGCATGGCTCCTTCGCATGCTGCTGTTTCGCGCGCCCGGATCCTTTTCATGCACTCCGCGAGCCGTTGGCGCTTTTGGTGTGAAACTTCCTCAAACTGTATCTGTGTTTGTCCTCAGACCCATTTCGCGGCAAAGCATTTGCACAATGCACGTCCGTCTCGGACAACGAGCTGTCAATCTTCACTTCTGCATTTGCTGGCGAAGGTCGCCCCACACCTGGCGCAACACGTTTTCTACATCCGCTTGGGCGTCACAGTTCTGTGCGACGTCATGCGGCAGCTGGGACCAACGGCCGGCTTCAGGATGTTTGGCTGCCGCTGCAAGTGAATTGGCTACATTGCATCCGCCTTTGACATTCCGCGTGTTCTTCTGCTCGTCCCAAGCTTGCTGCGCCACGTGTTCATAAACCCCCGTGCTGTCAAAAGGCCCTTTGCCTGCAGAAGCTCCTTGCGCATGTTGTCGAAGTCTTTCTGCAGGAGATGCTTCTGGAACTGCTCTTGAACGAACTGCTTCTCCTTCTGGAAATACGCTTGACGTGCTTCGTTGCGCATTTCTGTGTCCTCCACTTGACATATTGCTTTCAGAACCGGATCCGCAGCTTTCGCTGCTCGTGCCCAGGCGCGGCATCGATGCCCAATTGGACGGAAGGTCAGAAGGCAATGCACGGAACTTCTGTGCCGCGCAAAGATGACCGCAACAAGTAGAATGCTGAAGCGACGATGGCGCATCTTGTGCAATATCCTGAGGCTTTGCAGCTGCAGGAGACGCACCACATGCAAGGTCGACCGATCCGAAACTTTCCTGCCACTACACTGATTTCGAGTGGCTCTCATCACAGAAACTACACTGAAACAGCATGAGAGTCAAACTCGTAGCATGAGCACCATGAGAACACTTCCCATCAGAATTGCTTTGCACTCACACTTCAGCAAACCTTGCCAAAGAATCGGTCCTTCGTTGTCGAAATCTCCCTACGCTTGGTGGAACTGCTTGCCTGTACCCTGAACCCCAAACCCTGAACCAAATTCTACAAGGAACACCTTGCCCAGTTTGGGTAATAATACCACCTTAGAGAATGTAGATGGGGTGACTGGTTATTCCTATACTTGTATTGATAATGGGGAAGTAGGGGGAGCATAGGAATAATCGTCTAATGGGTTGACTGGTGG